TCAATCAAGGTGTATGCAAATGCATGGTTCAACCAGTCATCCTCAAGAAGAAGATCAAGTTTCTCATGGACACTGGGTGTGGCCACGACCTCATATCTCAGAAGCAGATCGAGAAGCATAGTCTCGAGACACTCGTGACTCCAGAGCCCATATCATTTCAGACAGCAAATGGAATCACCGATACCGATCTCGTGTCGAATTTCCAGACTGAGTCGTTCGAGGAACCGATCAACGCTTACGTGTTGGACGACACACCATCGGTGCTTTCCATAGGCAAGAGATGCATGAACTTTAACTACGGATTTGTGTGGCCACCCGGAAGGGAACCATTCATGATCAACCCGCAGGGCAAGAGGATATCTCTGTTCGTGAACGGTGACATCCCGTACATTCGCGCCGGGAGTTCCAAGTCACTTGTTCATGATGATCCGGAGGCCAAAGCGATCACCGAAATCTTCAAGGGTGTGCTAACCGCGGGTGATGTTGACGTCAGTGTCGCAGCTGCCGCTGAAGCTGCACCGAGCGAGATTGAGGCAGAAGAAGAAGGTGACGATCATGAACGACCTCCTGATCCTGAACCCCAAGAACCTCCTATAGAAGAAGTGCCAGAGTCCGAGGCCGGACGACCTCCGGACGACGACGAAGGAAAAGGAGTGGGTGAAATTCCATTGGATGGTGACGATGAGGTGATCATTGATGTGGAAGGCGACGGTGCGCCGAGCCGCAAGGCCAGAGTCGGAACACTGAAAGCCGAAGCAAGACGTTGGCACATCTGTGTACTCATCGCTACCGCAATCCATATTGCGAATCGTGCATACGCGCGAAGATGAAGCACTTGCGGACACAACGAGGTGCGTTTCAACGTGTGATCAAACACTGGGGAGATCTTGTGACGTTCGACTTCCTCGATATGCGCAAGGCCGCCGAAGCAGGTATCGGACTCGATGATGGAGCACGTGAAGTTCTAGTCATCAGAGACATCGCCACCAAAATGATCGCAGCGATTCCCACGGCTTCAAGGAGCACTGACGAGGTCGTCATGGCCATCAGACGCCTAATGGGAAGACGCAAGATTCATATGGCGTATAGTGATGAAGCACCAGAGTTCGATTCAGCTATGGCGCAGTTGAAGATCGTGATAGATCATTCCCTTCCAGGGAAACCCAGTAACAATTCACTCGCTGAACGATCAAATCAAGAAGTGATCAACACAGTCGCAGCATCCATGCTACACGCCGGATTACCCGCCCAATACTGGTCTTTTGCGCTGAATTGCGTGATGCAGAACCTCAACATCGAAGACGTGGAGGGCGATGGTGATTCAGCATGGAAACGTATGACTGGAAAGGACTTCGAGGGAAAAGCCATACCCTTTGGGGCCAAAGTCTTCTTCAAGCCTACGGATACAAGGCCGAAGACATATGGCAACAAGTTCGATCCAAAGGGGATCCCAGGCATTTTCGCCGGATACATCATCACTGCTGGTCAAGGATGGTCCAAGAAGTATCGCGTGTGGGACATGAAGGAATTTGCCAATGCGAACTTGTCGATGGACGCATCTGTTCCCAGGAAGTTGATGAGACCGTACGAGACAGAAGTTATCTACTTCCCAGAGGAGATAACGTTCCCCCTGAAAGCCGAGTATGAGAGGATGAACTCAACCATTGAGGGACTAAGGGACAACGTTGACCTCGCCGGCAAGGAGATAAAAGACGTCGATGACGGTGATGACGATCCGCCTGGAGGAAATGGTGGTAACGGGGATGATGATGATCAAGATGGTCTTCTTCCTCCACCGGATCCCGGAGAAGATCCCGACTTACAGGACATAGATCCATCTGACATAGAGGCGGAGCCGTCTGGCGAAGTCTTCAAGTCAGCAGAACATGAAGCTATTGATGCTATAGGAGACAAAAGACTCGAAGAACTAGACGAAGAACTAGGTCTACGTGCAGCACCGCCTCCTTCTGAACCAAAGGTCACTGGAAAAGATCGACGATCGCCCCGCGAAGTCGGTCCAACCGGTAGACTCATCCCCGAAGGAGACATCGAAGAACCTGGAGAGATTATCAAGATCTTGAAAGAAAAGAAGTTGGCTCCCGAGGAGATTGAACATTGGAGTACGGGGAAGAAAGGGGACGGCATTGTATATCTCACCGATGATGGTGAAGCCTGCAAGATCGACAAAAGGGGAGTTCCATATAAGATCCGAAGCGACGGTCGACGAACTCTTCCTACACGGCGACCTATCCATTCCTACTCTCCGGAAGCATGGAAGAAAATGAGCGAAGCGGAGAAGAAGGCAGCGTACAAGAAAGAAAAGCGAGACAAAGCTCGAGTTGCCAAGAAGGACCGGAAGAAGGCTGTGATAGGGAAGAAGATAGTCACCAAGATTTTGGACAACATGATCTTTCCCAAGATTGTTCCATGTGAAGAAATTGATCTGCAACTCAACG